AACATGACCGGGACACCATCACATGCCTGGGACACAATCACAACATGACCGGGACACCATCAAAACATGACCGGGACACCATCAAAACAGGACCGGGACACCATCACAACATGACCGCGCCACCATCACATGATCCGGACACCATCAAAACATGACCGGGACACCATCACAACATGACCGGGACACCATCAAAACATGACCGGGACACCATCAAAACAGGACCGGGACACCATCACAACATGACTGGGACACAATCAAAACATGACCGGGACACCATCACAACATGACCGCGCCACCATCACATGATCGGGACACCATCAAAACATGACCGGGACACCGTCACAACACGACCGGAACACCATCAAGACATGACCGGGACACCATCACAACATGACCGCGCCACCATCACATGATCGGGACACCATCAAAACATGACCGGGACACCATCAAAACATGACCGGGACACCATCACAACATGACCCGGACACCATCACATGACCGGGACACCGTCAAACCATGACCGGGACACCATCACAACATGACCGGGACACCATCAAAACATGACCGGGACACCATCAAAACAGGACCGGGACACCATCACAACATTGTAACATGACTGGGTCACAATCAAAACATGATCGGGACACCATCAATACATGACCGGGACACCAGCATCACATGACTGGGTCACAATCAAAACATGATCGGGACACCATCAAAACATGACCGGGACACCAGCATCACATGACCCGGACGCCATCAAAACATGACCGGGACACCATCCGCCCAGCTCTGACGGTGACCCGACGGCGCCCGTCCGCCTATTAGTTTTGCAAGACCCCATAGCATGGCTATTGGGGAAAAATTGCGTAGAGGAGCGGGAGTTGGAATTCTATATTGTGCACCTGCACCAGTTGGCTTAAGATGAATTGTTTAAGCCCGTGCAAGCATGTCCCTTCGTTTTGACGTTGAGCAGGTGAAGTACGGGCGAGGAACCAGTATCGACGCCAGTGGTGGGAGATGCTTCGTAGTGGGGCTGTCGATGGCAAGTTGGCAGAGGCGTTGGACCAGCAGCATTGCCGGACTTGTTCAGATACACAGTTGGAGAATTCCTATAAAAGTGGATGCGGCTCCTTTCCCTCCCATGACCCGTAAAACCGTTATGTCGAGCTCTTTGACCAAGGTGCCATCAGGTGCTTATGTGCATCAAACAAGTTTTTCTCCATTTTGGGTTGGGCCGGGTTTGTTCCTAGATTTCTTTTGCATGTTGAGGTTTTGACGTTTGCTCGGTGGCTTTTGGACGTTTTTACATTGCCATTTGATCCACTGGACTTCCCAGAGCCATTCCGAAGCTTAACACCACAAAAAAAGGACTGTCCGTAGTCCAAAGTCCTGCTCTTTTTGGGGTCACAGAGAAACTTAACCGGAAGAAGAACAATTTCCAAGGGAATGATCTCTTGGATATCGCTCGAAGTGTGGTGTGAGCTTAATGTCAAAGATAGGGAAGTGCTTTGTTCAGAATGCTGTACGCCACAAGCGTGTGACCCTTGGTTGTCGGCTGGTAGTCACGTAGTCTTCGGCTGCCCTGACAGGCGAGAAAATACCGGCAAAACGTGCGCGAGATTAGCTCCGGTGATGCCGTTTATAGCACAGCGCAGGAGAAGATGTGCAGCTTCGAGCCGAATCAAACAGCAACTTCTTGCTCCTAGTAGTTCCTATTGTCGCTCTTTCAGTGTTGACGAGAGGGTCAAAGAGGTCTCTATAATCACTATTCTTGGACCCTCTTGAGTTATGTCGCTGGGTCATCTTTTTGACCGCCGTGAACATGTTTTTGGGGGGTCCGGTCCACCACCTGCAAAGAGACATACCCGGTCCAGAGAGGGACGCTGCCGTTGCAAGTCGCTCCTAGTAGCGATGCCCTTTATTCCTAGTAGCGTCCTTGCTCCTAGTAGTAAGGCCAGGAGCCCCTAGTAGCTTCTTGTTACTACAGCGCCAGAACACATTGTGCAGGGAAACGTTTGTGCATGATGAATGAACTGTAGGTAAGCTGAGAAAGGCTTAAGGAGAGAGGGTGAGAATGAAAGTGCACACGCGTCGCAAGCCGAAACATCACATGAACTGCAAATTCCATCTCCTCACCGAGATCACAACAAACCGAGAACAGACTCCATCACTCCAGACGCAAGCTAGAAGAGCAAATACCAAGTACTAAAACATGTACCAAACATGCAGACCCCTACCAGGAACCAAAGGCACTGCATGCACAGCCCCCTCGACCTGTACGGTGCATGTCAACTTGGATGCAGGTGTCATAGGGGAGTTCAGCACCTCACAGTGACCCAGCCAGTAACGCTGCATTAGATCGTCCCCGCATATACGAAAATGATTTGTTCGATGAGTGAGTCAGTCACCCAAAAATACATTCACTGGCTCATGAGGCATCCGGGCCACATGGCAATTTCACAGGACTTATCCATGCAATCAAGAGTCACCGTGTTTCCTGGTGCTGCTCCAAGGAGTCCTTGTCGTTATGACACGCAGAATGAAAGCAAGTGGTTGAGCCACGACCATCATAGGCAACGGCAATGCAGGGATTCATCCGAAGTTCCATGACCCAATGAGCGACCCTCGCCGAGGGAACAATCAGAATGAACCTCACCACCCCTTATTGTCTAAAGTATTCTAATAGCACAATGGCCTCCAACAGTTTGAGATGCATTATTCTAGACGGTACCGTCAGAAAGGCAGAAACGGAGATTGGGCGCTTTACGAGGACGTTGCGCCACAGCGCTCTGACAGCGATCTGGAGGATTTTGATCGGCGCCTCCGGGGCTGAGATCCGTGGCGTGGTGAAGCATTTAGCATTCTTTTTGAGCACATACCATTGGAGGATTTGTTTCAAGGATATAGAGCCGTTCTTGAAACTCTCGTTTAGGGGCACTGAGCAAGAGGAAAGATGGCGAGATTGTCCGGATGCCGCAGGTAACAACCGATTCAGGACTCCCGGCAGGTGTGCGCTGTAGAGTTTTCGTTATTTTTGGTGCCGTGCAACGCTATTCAATCGCGTACCATTATCAAAATCGTCTCTAGTACTAGATGTGCTGTAGCACTAGAGTACACAATCTCCATCCTGGAAAGTCCAACTTTCCTCAGCATCCCGAAACGGTGCATGCTTATGCCACAATATGCTACAATGGTACCAGTGGCAGGAATTGTTTGAAAGGAGTGCCCGGAATGACCCCGCCCGCTTTGCCGCAGGACGGTTGCAATGCTGTGTGGTTTTTACCCGGACAGCTGGACAGCCAATCAAATGGTTTGAGCTAATTGCTCAAACTTGTTGAGGTACAGCCATGGACAGAGTCAAATGTAACAAGAAGCTACTAGTAGCACCTCTTTGTGTAATCGTTTTGCCTGCCAAAAGTGCAGCCTCACTGGGATCTTCGTGGCGTCGCTTTGAGGGGTCCTTATCAGCCTTAGGTTTTGAGAGTTGCAATTCACATCGGACGCCACAACGATCCAAGTGTCAAAAACTGGTGGCTATCATTCTGAAAAGGCTCTGGTGGAAGTTTCAGGAATCTGCTGTTTGAGGTGATTGTTTGCCTGGAAACCTGTTTTTGCACTGCTGTCAGGGCCCCGGCCAGGAAGCTGTGGGAGCCCTCAAGGCGAACGGCGCCATGGGGCTCCTGTTTTTCAACAGCTTCAGTTTGTGGCAAAAGCAGACAAGCTTCCCGAACTACAAGAAAATACATGTAAAATACCAACTGTATATACTGTAAATCTAAAGTCAGCATTCGACACACCCGAAGCCTTTAAGCAAGTGTTCTTGCGGTGTGGGGCAAGTGGTCCAGCAAACGTCCTTTCATGGACAGGGTTGCTGATCGCATTGTGGTGCTTCCCTCTCGACAAATGCCTTAGCGATTCGATTTTCGTTTGAACATTTGGCGTGCAGGCACGGAGCCCGGTGTGGAAGCCCCAGAGTACGCGAAGGCATTGGGGGTTTTCGTTCGGATGTGCAAACACCATGAGATCCAAAGAGACAGGAGAAAACGCATACAGAAACAACACATGAATTATGTTCATTTTGTCTTTGCCCGCAGGTAATGCGGAAAGTGCACAAGCGCCACTCCACTGACCTTTGCACACTTTGTGTATTCCTCGGGCTGCTCGGTCGCAATTTTCAAGCCGATCTGGTCTAGGTTTAGTTTCGACATTTTCAGGTATTGGGCTGGCATGTGGGGCCCTCAGGGTGACATGAGGGCCAAGCTGTCACGCTCATGGATTTAGGTGTGGTATCACCTATTCCGCGCTGAAAGTCGGGGATCCGCGAAGACTCATTCACAGCACACTTCTTGGGTGCAGCTTTGTCTTTGCTTTTTTGTTCTCTTTGATTCATGGAAAGAGGAAAAGCAAAGGTGAGGGCGAGTTGATGAGGCTTTGACTACGGTGGCCGTCTTTGTGGCGTGGACGCTGGGGTGGAAGGAAAAGGGCCTGCGCCCGAGGAATGATTTTGTCAAATTTTATCGCTCGATCCGAATATATAAAAAATGCCCTTTGTTCCTAGTAGCGATGCCCTTTGTTCCTAGTAGTAAGGCCAGGAGCTACTATAGTAGAGTCCTTGCTCCTAGACAATGCAAGCTGCTCCACACCCATAGGATTTTCGGATGTAGGTGCATGATGGTGCATGCTCATGAGCGATGCGTGATGCGCGTGGCCAAGACGCGTACATGATAGCTTAGCCCGCCGGCAATGCTGCAAGGTGTGGGTGTTGAGGGTGAGGCAAACACTCAGGGATTAGTTGTTCATAACGTTTATTGCCCCTCACTTATCTAGAAAAGGACGGCGGTATTTGCGGCCATTCGTGAAACAACAACAGTGCCTTGCTGCCCGGAGGCCATGGGAAATTACGACCTTGGGTGCCGTGAGACAAACCCACCATCCAACTGCGGATTCTCAGTTTGCAGCATGCTGTGATCTTTGATTTCTTTTTTGGGTGCAATGCCTGCAATGTGCAAAAAACACCGTGCTTTAAGTGCTCTACAATGTTAATTGCCGGTCGAAAAGGTGTACCTGCTTTGATTGTGTGAACTGTCACGCCGTTCCACTGGGCCAGATTTTCACCCGTTCTCACTGACGTCAGGCTTGAACTCTGACTCTTGAATCTTGCTTATTGTTTTTGCTTGAGATGTTTCACCATAAATTTTGGACGCGGGGGGCATTGGTTTTGGGATATTGAGGGTCAGTATAAGTATAAACACATTTTTTGGAAATCGGCGCTTAGAGACATCTGGACGAAGAAGTTGTGCAGGTGAACATTCATACATAACACAACGCTGGTCTTCAGCTTTATCATGTTGGAACTCGCGGGGACCAATGACTATTTTGCCATAAAGATTCGACCGAGACTAACGTTAACAGGTAGATCTCCAAACTGAGCTTAGTAACAACAAGAAGCTACTAGGGGCTCCTGGCATCGCTACTAGGAGCAAGGACGCTACTAGGGGCTCCTGGCCGTACCATTAGGAGCAAGTAGCTACTAGCAACAAGAAACTACTAGGGGCTGGTCTCTTTGTTTTGTGATGCACTTGGCCTTGACATGTCAGCAGTAGCGCGAACAGTCGTGCTTGTTGTCGTTGCTCCTAGACAGTGCTAGTGGTTCAGTTTAAACTCGTGGGGCTACGACTGAGAAGCAATGTGCACGGGACAATCCATTGGCAGTGATTGGTTTCCACATCATTGCTTTTGTTGCTTTGTGTCAAGGCTGTTGTACTGGCCAAACACGGCAGAGACTGAGTATGCCGTTTGTGTCAGCGAGTGTCCCACAGACTCTCTGCAGACGGTCTCCTTCCCAGTTGAGGCCCGTCCAGTTTGCACATGCATTTTTCATCCAAGGGTGAGACTGTTGTCACCAGCATTCCATGGATACCTTTTTTTTCTACCAACATTCATGATTGACTGATTGACTGATTGACATCTTCGATTCGACTAGATGCATGTGAAATCCCTGGAGGAAGCCGATGTCCAACATGGGCCGGATGGGAGTGAAGTTGCCACAATCACTTCGCGAGAGAAGAAACTGCCCACGTACCCTTCCAGGTTGGCTTGAGGTATTGTGACCGAAGACAAATGTGTTCCAACGTGTTCCTGCGGCAATGTTTTCAAGTGAGTGCAAGGAACAAGATTTACATTATTGCCTTGTTGGAGTTTTGCGCACGCGCTTGCACACATCAAACCACTCATACCAATACCAACTTACCCACGCCAAGTCACACATGCCAAGGTACTCACACCATCCTCTCCCCTCGCTCTATCCGCAAACATTCTCTTCTTGATTCTCGCTTTGTGAGATTTGTGAGGACTAGTCATGTGGGGTTATCCGCTCCGTGACGCACTGCGTGCCTTGTGCGCAGACTCCAGGCAGGTAGGCGGCCGTTTCTGCTTGCCGCTCACCCTGGCCGATGACATGCAGCATGGCAGAGGGCGTTCAAGCGAAAGGTCGGGAAACCCGCCGCTTCCGCCAACGCACGTGCAGCTACCAAGACTGCCAATTGCTACAGTGCGGCTTGGCAGTCATGAATGTTATTATCAAAGACCATGTGAAGCGGTGGGGGAAGCCCTTCCACACTAGGTTAGCGCAAGGATTCCTTTTCCTATATACTTCATTGTGATTGAGTGGCTTGCAAAATCTGTAGTGCCACATGGCGGAGTTGAAAAACGACACGAGGGAAGAAACGAGAGACGGATCGAGAGATGAGCTGAGGACTACTAGGAGCAAGGATGCTGCTAGGGGGCTCCTAGCATCGCTTACTACTAGTAGCTTCTTGTTACTAGTAAGGCCAGGAGCCCCTAGTAGCGTCCCTTTCTCCTAGTAGCGATGCCCTTTGCTACTAGTAGCGATGCCCTGAGCTGAGGACACCCTCCGACCGGAAGCCGCTTCCGCCCAGTCACGAGACGCTCCCAGAGCGTTCCTTCCCGAGCGCTCCAACTTCTCCGCTTCGACCATCGCACCAACTCCATGGCGAAGCGCCACACCCTGCGGACCCTGCGTCCACAGTGACAACCAGTAGAGAGGAAGTGACAAGTACGACGAAAATTGCACTCAGCCCTTGGGTACATGGCATTCTGAAGCCAAACCTACCTCCTTTGCCTACAACTGATGAGCCAGAGGTACCAAAACCGGATGCCAGGCCGCCCCATTCTTTCACTTCTGATAGAGGGGAAATGCCCAGAGCTGGGCCACAGGCACCAACACCGCAAGCTATTCCGTCTCATTCAAGTTCGGGAAACGCAGATGAAGGAAAAGACAAGCCAGAAGCCTCAGAAGCACCAAAACCGCAACCAAGCCCTCATTCCTCAACTTCTGGAGCAGATGAGTCAGATGAGGACAAGCCAGAAGCGCCAATTCTGCCTCATTCTTCATTTTCTGACGAAGGAAAAGACGAAGAGGCTTTGGAAGGACATTCTGCAACTACTACCTCTACTACCACCACGGTCCAAGAGCATGCACAAACGACGAAGCGCCCACTGGATAAGCACACTGCGCTTGGAATTGAATCACCCGATGATGTAGGTAGTCCAGAGCACAACGGTGAAATTTCCCGAGCCACAAAAGGCAGACAGCAACTGACAGAAGCAGAAGCTGAAGCAAAGGCTGAAGCAGAAGCTTTCGCAAAGGTGTTTGGTCATCAAGTCAGCAAGACTAGCCGAAGGACAGGAATCAGGAATCAGGAATCAGTCATAGTACTGGATGCATCAGCGAGCGTTTTTGCCAACAATCGCAATTGCAGTCGCAGGATGTTTGAGGATAGCCAAAGCAGGCATTGGGTCGACTTTTCTTGAGGGTTTGCTTTTCAAGAATGCAGCTTTCAGGGAGACAAAGTTGGCAGTGTTGCTGAAAAGACAGGACTTGGGCTTAATCCGCTTAAAATCATTCAATCTTCCAGGCGCAAGGACGCTACTAGGGGCTCCTGGCCGGACGCTACTAGGGGCTTCTGGCCGTACTACTAGGAGCAAGGACGCTACTAGGGGCACGCTACTAGGGGCTCCTGGCCTTACTACTAGGGGCTCCTGGCACCGCTGCTAGGAGCAAGGACGCTACTAGGGGCTCCTGGCATCGCTACTGGGAGCAAGGACGCTACTAGAACTGTAAGATCTAGAAGTTTAATGGTAGATCTCAGAGCAGAGCACCCCCAGAAGGTAGATGTGGGCGATTACTATGCGGAAGATCACTCCAGCAAGATCTCTGAGCACGCATAAAAACCCACACTCGAGAGATCACACATATGAGAGCACAAAATACTGCTGCTGCGCGACCTGCACTTCGAGGCTCGCAAAGGGCTGCGCCTGCTACAAAATCGCATCAAGATTCATATCGCGCGGCCCCAAGGTGTTTCGCAGGAAATGCATAACCCAAAGACGATCATACCAAAACTCAGCTTTCGGTCGGTACGCCCCCCGATTTCTGAAAACTGACCACATGTCCAAAGGTCACGATTTACTGCATTTGCC